ACACACCCATAGTTGGATCCCAAGAGGATCCAATTACTACAAGTCGCCCTAACGTCTCCAGGACAATCCACTTACATGTCTTTGAGCCTGAGGAGTTGCAGTCCATCCATCTTTATGTAACCCAAACACTGCAAGCACATGACCTACTGCATGGCACTTCTTCAGCTCTTGAAAGAATCGAGCCAAGGCCAAACTTGACTAGAGATCAAGGAGACCAAGGAAGCTTGGGAAAACCTACTCCACCACCATTAAATACAAGTGGTTTAGGTGTGGTAAGCACCATTATACCAGGATCCACGAACCCGGGGGACACCTCGATGTGAATCAAAGGATTTGACAAATATCATTATGACGATTCTTGGACTCAGTACCAACCAAGTACTGAATCCGGAGTCAGGAAATATGAAGATTTTCTCAGGGCTTTTTAGGCACGCAAGGCTGAGCAAACTCGACAACTTCAGCAATAGGAAAAGGATATTCAAACCGTAGCTAAGTGTTGGGTTGATACATTCAACAACGTAAAAACTATTCATGATATCTTGTGGATTCAAGAATGAATGTCAAAAATGGAAGCCATGATGCAACAAGCTCAGAATCTTCAAGATGGTTCTGGTCCATCTCAACTTCCCCTAAATACTAAAAATCACGAATCAAACGATGATGGAACCGCAATAGAGATCAGCTTAGGTCTGATTTTTGGACTTGATGTTCTGGATGTTAATGAAGTCGTACAACCTGCACATTCAAATGAGTTCATGATGATTTTTTACGAAGAATAAGAATCAAGTGGATCCAAAAACTCCACTTCAAAGCCTAAGGAAAAGAAGAAGAAGAAGAAGAAGCTGGTAGCTACAAGAAAAGAATTTCTTTCTCTACAATCTAAATTCGACCAAATTTTGCATGTAGTCTCCTCCAACAAAACTCAAAACACTGAGCTCCCTACCCCACAGTCGTTAGTTGAAAGGGTTGAAAATCTTGAAACCAGGGAACGTCTGACTACAGAGCGCATCTCTCTCAAAATTGAAATAGGCATTAGATCCCTTGATAACAGTCACATTGCGGATCACAAACAATTTCTATCCACTTCTAAAAACCTCATCAAAGAGGTAACTGCACTCAAAGAAGAAATCAAGTCTACCCTTGATAGTCAAGTTGTTCACTCTAAGAACCTGGTACAAGAGAATCACAATGCTTATGAGTCAGCCATTGTGGTCCTCCAATCCACCATTAACAACCTCAGACGCTCTGTCTCTGCTCCATCCCATGTCAATGAAATTCTCAAGCTTACAAAGAAAATCCACTAACTCTTGTTCAACAAAGAAATCCCAAACAATCTCCAAGTCTCCGAGTTGATCAAATACCAGTTTACTGAAACATTCTCCAAAAACTAAAGCAGTTGTTTGAGGATCAACAAGTGTCTGATTCCTCAAAACGGGGAAATGATCACAGTCCGTTCAATCAACAACCTGATCCTTCACACTCCAAAATTCCTTCGGTTCATCAAACTCCTACAAGAACTTCGGATCAAAACAAGCCTCCAACTCCATAATCTTCACCGCAACCATCTCCTAAAACATCAACTCCGGTGCAATCTCATCATTCTCCTCCACTGTAACAAGATTCCCCTCAACAAGAAGTTCATTATCAATCCCCTCACCAAGAACCTCCTCCTAAATTCAATAATTCGGAACCAACAATGTCTTCAGAGCACTCCAATGACTCTCCTGCCACTCGTCATCGGAAGAAAGACTGGAATACAACAAAATTCGCTGAACAAATTTGGAGAGAACATGGCTTCAACACAACCATGAATGAAACCCTGATCAATTCTTGGGTAAATCCCACTTGAAGATTATTTGATGATTATTACAGGCCAGTTCTAATTTATGTTGAACCACCTTTGGATGGATACTGGGATGTTCCGATTTCGCCCAACTCCAAATTCTTCCTTGTCTTTGAACTTTTCGACCTTAGCCTTCCCGATGATCAAATGATACCTCTCGAGTTTAAACGTCTGAACTAGTTCCATGCCAAGCATGGATCTAAATTTGAGAGCATCTGGTCTAATGATAGACAAATCAGCTGTGAAAAGTTTCAAGATAAGGAAGTTAATGAAGTCAGACTTTATTAAGTACATGCTTACAAGAAGAGGCGATGACTAATTCAGGACTCAAGCTGATTTTCCTTGCATGAATCCTAAGGAAGTATTTCTGATTGTAAGGGTCTTTCAAATCAAGTCTGAGAAACATCCAAAGATGAAGATTGCGTATGAGAAGCCCACGAATTTCTCAAGTCATCAATGTGTAACTTTGCCAAGATCGATGCAGATATTCATCTGATGCTTGCCCAAAAGTTCAATCTCCTTACTCTTGAACCCGCACTAGTGTTCACTGAAGGATATTAAGAAAGGTCCTTAGGAATAACCAACTTCCGTGAACTTAGAGTTGTGTATAAAAGAGCCAACAATGATATCAAGTACTTTATCCCAATCATCGCAATGCATTAACTGACCCGCAAACAACTTGAAGTGACTTTGGCTTCGGTTCAGAGATCTAAGCATACAACTGAAGAAGTGAAGTACGAGATTACAAGAAGAATCACTTGGCTAGGAGAAGTAAGGAAGTTTTGGTGGCTCCTCATCAATTTTTTTATGCTTGATAAGTAATAAAGAAAAGTTGAAGAGGTCACTTTGGGGGAAATTGTTAGAACAAAAAGTGACCCTCTTAAACTTAGCAATCCGCAATCATCTTCTGTCTACCTCAACTATCTTTCTGCTACCACAATCAACTCTCTCCTTACCGCAATGAAGTCTTTACCGTAGTTTCAAGAAGTGAACCCCAATCCCTCTACCTCAATGAAGATTATGTTACATCCTCTGCGTTGGTGTGATAGCCTTTCTTTATCCAATGGACCTTGCATGGCCATGTTAGTTAGTAGGTTATTATTTGTTTATTTAGGATGTAACTTTTAGAGGCTCTATAAATAGAGTGTTCATCTTTTGTATTAAACACCTCTTATCACTTCTTCACTATGATCTTTTGATCTTTCTCTCTGAAATACAAAGATCACTTTCTTATATCTCTATCTTATTGATAATCATCGAAGACACTCTTCACTTTAAACTGATCTCACATACTAACTCGTGTTTGATTGCAAACCTTGTTAAGAATCAATTTAGTGTTTACTTAATATATAGCTTGTTGTCATTTATCTTTCATTTACTTTTCAGCACTTTAATTCCACAACTAACTATCTAACAAATCCAACTTATTACTATAGAGTTTTTATGATCATTTGAGATTAACTTATTCTGTAACTATAATCTTATAATAACGTTTGTTCAAGTGTTTTTCAAAGTTCTTCTCTCAAAAGGAAATCTCAACAAGTTTCCTTTGTGTATTAGACTATTAGTAGTTATCTAATATTAGGAAACCTCTTATATATATATATATATATATATATATATATATATATATATATATATATATATATATATATATATATATATACATTACAGCCCCACCTAAGCTTAGGTACTAAACCTCTAAAATATGTCGTTTTAACATGCTAAATATATCCGGTTTGGTTTCACTTGGTAAATATATCATTCTCAATAATATTTCTTTATTTCATTATCGTTTTATCATCTCTGTTTTCTTTCCTCAATTATTGTTTTTGTTACTTCATCCAAGTGAACATTACTAAACCTTAAACCTAAACCTAAACCCTAAATTTAAACCCTAAACACTAAAGCTAAACCCTAAACCCTAAATCTAAACACTAAACCCTAAACCTTAAACCCTAAACCATAAACCCTAACCCTAAACCCAAAACCCTAAACCCTAAACATAAACCTAAACCCTAAACCCTAAACCTTAAACTCTAAACCCTAAACCCTATTGTGTCGATCTTGAATTTACATCTTGAAGTATTAATCGTGAATCCATTAACCGTAATCGTTATATAGTAAAACAACGTATTTTCAAGAGGTTTAGTACCTAAGCTTAGGTGGGGCTGTAATGTACTATATATATATATATATATATATATATATATATATATATATATATATATATATATATATATATATATATATATATATATATATATATATATATATATATATACCGAGTTATGTTCTAAGTATGTGATTCAGTTCTTGAGAAATATGGTAACATGCAACTAATAACGGTCTAATTTTATTATCACTCGACACAATATTTTATTATAACTATTTTTTATGAAAATATATATTATTACCGTATTATCTTTCCACAATAAAACTCCACACTTTAACACTAAATATCATACTAAAACCATTGTACTTTGACACTATATTTTATTAATAACTATTTTAACTTTTCTATAGTATATCAAAGTGGCAGACATCAAAAACTTATCAAACTTTATCGACATTCATTAATGAGAACATACAATTTGTTAAACCCATAAAATTAAATGAAATATAATGATTCTTATGAATATACAAATATATTATCAAGTATTCTTTCGACAACTTGCTCTTTAAATTTAATCTCTGCATATTTCGTTTCCAACAAAGTTTCATATATAAAAAAACAAAACAATTTTTTTAATGTTATATTAAGAAATACTAAATGTTTATTGTTCAAAATCCAAGGAATAATAATAAATAAATATAAATAAAACTAAACATAAAAAAGCGAAGGGTCCGAACATTTCGAGCAAGAACTCAAGGACCACCACACAGCTATCCAATCTCTTACGATTTTCACCAAAATCCACACAAAGGTTATTTCCGTAATTTCACATTACACCCCCTCCCCCGCCCCCACATACTTTGCTACTGTTACTACAATCGTCTATCATCATCATCATCATCATCATCATCTTCTTCTTCTTCTTGATTCATTCGTTCCATACATTATATAGGCCTATTATATGCATATTACATACACAAAAATCCCACACCACATTCTGCTTTCGGATCCGGGTCGAATACCAAAAACCCCATTGCAGAGATGAAGTTGTTGTTCTTGAATAACAATATCACCCCTACAACGAGTAACTCACTATCGTACTGTGTAACAGAGAATAAATCATGTATTGGGTGGGTCGACAAGTATTTCAAAGATTGTTTGTGTAATCTTAGAGACGAATTATCTTTCGGATTTGGAATCGCAAGTCTTGTTTGTTGGGGTGTCGCTGAAATCCCTCAAATCATCACCAACTTTCGTACTAAATCCAGCCATGGCGTCTCACTTCTCTTCCTCCTCACTTGGATTGCCGGGTAGGTGTTTGTGTTAATGCCTCAGTGAAATTTCTTCTTCTTTTTCTTCTTTTTTTTCGTTTCCTTGAATCAAATCGTGAAATTTGATCTTCGCAGGGATATCTTTAATCTCGTGGGTTGTCTTCTCGAACCTGCAACGGTGAATTTCTTCGTCTGATTTCCAATTTCTAACGATTTTTTTTTTTTTTTAACATGTATACAATCAAAAAACTCCGATAAAACCTTCAACAGATCCACTAATCCACATCCACCTTCATCGTTAATTCGTTATCATTCTTCTCACGTTTTTTTCTTTCTTTCTTTCTTCTCGATGCAGTTGCCGACTCAATACTACACAGCTGCGGTAAATCTGTCGTGCTTTTTTGGGATTAATTTTCGCAAAACTTCACTCAATCGTTCTCTTTAAATCACATTTACTCTAACGATTTATGTTAATTTCACACAGCTTTACACAATCAGCACAATCATCTTAGTTTTACAAAGCTTATACTACGATCACATCTACACATGGCTCAAATCCAGAAAAGCCGATGCTCATGCTACATCTAACACAGAGGTACAAATAACAAATTAAAATCACTCCTACGAATTAACACAATGATTCCACTACAAATTTTGCTTCAACATCGTTAAAATTTCAAATCATTTACAGGATGAAGAAGCGAAGAAACTTCTCAGACCTTCAACAGCTTCAGAACCCCATGAATTAACCTCTCGAAGCCGCGCAATAAGAACAACATCGTCTTCTCCACGTCAAGACTTTTTCTTCACGTACGTCTTCATCTTCATCTTCATCTTCATGTTCATACCTCGAATTGGGCATCATTAATTGGGAATTTCATTACACCATAACATGAAATTAGAAAAAGAGCGGAAATTAAATTGAAATCTTTTTAATTGCAGGTCTGCAAGATCAATGGCGGGAAGCGCAACACCACCCAATCGATCTTATCTATGGACAACAAGAAGTGGTCCAGCTTCTGCCATGGCTGCCGATGACGACTCTTCTTCAGAAGATGAGTCATCTGTTCAAATACCGAAGCCTACTACACAACCCAAACCCATTCCACGTTCTGTAAGTTGAATTTTTTAAAACGTGGGGGTTTTTTTTAAAAAAAAAAATTTAATTTTGTTTCTTTTCATGTTTTTGGCTTTTGTAATTTATTGTCGTTTCCTTTTAAAGAAACCATAAACCCTGCTTAATAGAGATAAAAGTCAAGAAAATATATTAAATATTTATAAGTTGTTGTATTAATTAACGTCACAGGCGGGGTATGGAGCGTTCTTGGCTACTTCATTAAATTTGCCTTCACATACCAAGGGTTTGATGCAAGTTTATGTTGGAAGAAAGTTGTTACAAGTATGATTTTTATTTTATTTTTTGTTTAAATAATTTGTATTTAGTTATGAATTTTTTTTTATTTGGTTAATTAATTAATTGTGTTGATGATGTAGGAGGGTGGTGGAAGTAGTACGGTGTATGGGCAATGGTTAGGGTGGATGATGGCGGCTATTTACATGGGTGGTCGGATTCCTCAAATTGTATTGAATGTAAGAATTATTATTATTATTATTATTTTTTAATTCTTTTTTTAATAATTTAATCTCGATTGTGATTTGATTAATTGGAAGGTTTCTGAAATATTTGTTTTTGTTACTGACAGATAAAAAGAGGCAGTGTAGAGGTGAAGTTATTACATTTCAACTACTTTTTTTTTTTTTTTAATTATTATTTTTTTAAAAATATTTTTTATATATTGTTGTTTCTACTTTTTTAGATTATAAGTTTCTAACTTTACAAAATCTTTGTAGGGTTTGAATCCTCTCATGTTCCTCTTCGCTCTTGTTGCAAATGCCACTTATGTCGCAAGGTCTCTCTCTCACACACACACGCATACATACATACATACGAGTGAAGTTTACTGATAGATGATAAAAATTTCAAGGTCTCTCTCACACACACACACGCATACATACATACATACGAGTGAAGTTTACTGATAAATGATAAAAATTTCAATCGCAGCATTCTT